ACAAATGATTGCGAGGTTGTGGAGAAAGGGGAACCCTCCTACACTGCTGGTGGGAATGTAAATTAGTTCAACCATTGTGGAAAGGTGTATTGTGGTTCCTCAAAATGCTCAAAATAGAAATACCATTTGATCCAGGAATTCCACTTCTAGGAATTTACCCCAAGAATGCAGCACTCCAGTTTGAAAAAGACAGATGCACCCCTATGTTTATCGCAGCTCTATTTACAATAGCCAAGAAATGGAAGCAACCTAAGTGTCCATCAGTAGATGATTGGATAAAGAAGATGTGGTTCATATACACAATGGAATATTACTCGGGCATAAGAAAAAAAAAAGATCGTACCATTTGCAACAACATAGATGGAGAAGAGGGTATTATGCTCAGTGAAATAAGCCAGGTGGAGAAAGACAAGTACAAAATGATTTCACTCATATGTGGAGTATAAGAACAAAGGGAAACTGAAGGAACAAAACAGCAGCATTATCACAGATCCCAAGAATGGACTAATAGTTACCGAAGGGAAAGGGACTGGGGAGGATGGGTGGGAAGGGCCGGACAAGGGTGGGGAAAAAGAAAGTGGCCATTATGATTAGCATGTATAGTTTGTGGGGGAAAGAGGGAGGGCTTTTAAACACAGAGAAGACAAGTAGTGATTTTTCAGCATCTTACTATGCTGATGGACAATGACTGTGAAGGGGTATGTTGAAGGTGACTTGGTGAAGCGGGAGCCTAGTAAACATAATGTTCTTCATGTAATTGTAGGTTAATGATACAAAAAAACGAACAAGATACCCACTACATCCTTAAGGACACATACATACTGGGAGTGAAGGAATGGAAAAAGACCATTCAAGCAAATGTTAACCTAAAAACAAAACAAAACAAGTAGGGGTAGCGATACTTATAACAGACAAAATAGGCTTTAAACCAAAAATGGTAAAAAGTGACAAACACATTATTAATGATAAAGGGGTCAATTCTCCAAGAAGACATAATAAATTATAAATGTTTATATGCCTATCATTGAAATACCTAAAAGTAATATAGCAAAAGTAATAGAGGTAAAAGGATAAATTAACAGAAATACAGTAGTTGGGGACTTTATTTCTCTACTTTCAACAATGGACAGATCATCCAGACAGAGAATCAGAAAGGAAATAGTGGATTTGAACAACATTGTAGACCAAATGGACCTAAGACTATACAGAACATTCTATTCAACAATAGCAGAATACACATTCTTTTCAAGTGCAAATGGAACATTTTTGAGGATAGTGCACCTTAGGCCACAAAATAACTCAGCCAATTCAAGAAGACTGAAGTTATGCCTAGTATCTTCTCTGACCACAATGGCATGAAGCTAGAAATCAACAAAAGGAAAACTGAAAAATTCATAAGTGCATGAAAATTAAACAACACTCTTCTGAACAACCAAGGGATCAAAGAAATTATAAGGTTAATAAAAATGTTTAAGACAAAGGAAAATGGAAACAACATACTAGACCTTGTGGGATGTAGTAAAAGCAGTTGTAAGAAGGAAGTTCATAGCAATAAATGCCTATTAAGATGGAAGAAAGATCTCAAACAACCTAATCTATACCTTAAGAAAATAGAAAAAGAACAAAATGAGTCCAAAGTTAGCAGAAGAAAGGAAATGAAGATGAGAGCATAAATAACAGAAAAACAATAGAAAATATATTAACCAAAGTAAGAGTTGGTTCTTTGACAAGATAAAACTGACCAATCCTTAGCTAACCTAACCAAGAAAAAGAAAGGACCCAAATCAACAAGATTATTGATGAAAAAGGAGACATTACAACTGATACCATAGAAACTCAAACATCATAAGAGCCTACTATGAACAACTGTACACCACCAAATAGGACAACCGAGAAGAAATGGAAAAATTTTTAGAAACATACAACTTCCCAAGAGTAAATCAGGAAGAAACAGAAATCTGAATAGAGCAATTACTAAAATATTGAATCAGCAATAAAAAACTCCCCAACGAAGAAGAACCCAGGAATAGATGGCTTCACTGGTGAATTTTACTAAACATTTACTGAAGAATAAACACCAATCCATCTCAACCTCTTCCAAAAACTGAAGCAGATGGAACAGTGCCAAACTCATTTTACCAGGCCAGCATTATCCTGATTACAAAACCATAAAAAGGCACTACTAGAAAACTACAGACCAATATCCCTGATAAATGTAGATGCAAAAATTCTTGATATTAGCAAACTGAATTCAGCAGCAAATTAAGGTTTAGACACCACAGTCAAGTAGGATTTATCCCTGGGATGCAGGAGGATGGTTCAACATAGGCAGAAAAAGCATTCAACAAAATTCAGCATCCATTCATGGTAAAAATTGAACAAATCAGGCATAAAAGAAACATATCTCAACATAATAAAGGCCATATATGTCAAGCCGACAACTAACATACTGAATGGTGAAAGGTTGAAAGCTTTTCCTCTAAGATCAGGAACAAGACAAGAGTGCCCATTCTCATCACTTTTTCTCAACATAGTACTAGAAGTCCTTGCTAGAGCAATCAGGCAAGAAAAAGAAGTAATAGGCATCAGAATTGAAAAGGAAGAAGTAAAACTGTCTTTATGTACAGATAATATAATTTTATATACAAAAAATCCTAAAGACTCAATAAAAAACTGTTAGATCCAATCCATGAATTCAGTAAATGTGCAGGATACAAACTAATGTACAAAAATCAGTAGCATTTCTATACAATAACAATGAATTTTCTGAAAAAAATAGATCTCATTTCCAACAGCATACAAATAATAAAAAAGTCACTATTAGCAAAAGCCATATATAAATTCAATGCAATCCCTATCAAGATTCCAAAGGCATTTTTATAGAAGTAGAAAAAAATACTCCTAAAATTTACATGGAGCCACAGAAGATCCCAGATAACCAAGGAAATCCTGAGAAAGAAGAACAAATAAGGAGGCATCATATTTTCTGATTTCAAGCTATACTATAAAGCTATAGTCATCAAAACAATACAGTACTGGCATAAAATAGACATAGACCAATGGAACATAATCAAGAGCCAGAAATAAACCATATAGTCAACTAATATTTGATAAGGGAGCTAAGAATATTCACTGGAGAAAAGACAGTCTTTTCAATAAATGGTGCAGGAGTAACTGGATACTCACATGTAAAAGAATAAAACTGGACCCATATCTTATACCACTCTCAATAAGTAACTGAAAATGTATTAAAGACTTAGATGTAAGACCTGAAACCATGAAACTCTTAGAAGAAAACACAGGAATAAAGCTTCTAGACATGGGTCTTGGTAATGATTTTTTGGATGAAACACCTAAAGCAGAATCAGCAAAAACAAAAATAAACAAGTGGGACTACATCAAACTAAAAAGCTTCTGCACATTAAAACAAACCATCAACAAAGTGAAAGAACCTAAAGAATGGGGGAAAAAATGTAAACCATATATCTAATAGTTGAATATCCACAATGAATAAAGAACTTATAGAACTCCACATCAAAGAAGTAAATAACACAATTTAAAAATGGTCAAAGGACCCTGAATAGGTATTTCTCCAAAGAAGATATAAAAAAGCCAAAAGGTACATGAAAAGATGCCCAGAATCATTAGGGAAATGAAAATTAAAACCACAATGAGAAATCATATCATGCCTATTAAAATGGCTATCATCAAAAAGATAACTAATGCTGGCATAGACATGGAGAAAAGGAACTCTTGTGCACTTTTAGTGGGACTGGAAATTGGTAGAGCCACTACTGAAAACAGTATGGAGGATCCTCAAAAAGTTAAAAGTAGAACTACCATATAATCCAGATATTCTATTTCTAGGAATGTATCCAAAGGAAACAAATACACTAACTTGAAAAGATATCTGCACCCCCGTGTTCACAGCGGCATTATTTATAACAGTCAAGACACAGAAACAACCTTAGTGTCCATCAAGGGATGAATGCATAAAGAAGTTGTGATATATATATATATGATGGAATATTATTCACCTATTTAAAAACAACTAGGAAACCTTACCATTTGTGACATGTTATTAAGTGAAATAAGTCAGATAAAGACAAATAATATATGACCTCATTTATATATGGAATCTAAAACAAAAAACAACTGAACAGAGAAAATGAGATCAGATTTGTGGTTAGTAGAGGCAGTGGGGGGGGGGTGGCAAGTGGAAGAAAGTGGTCAAAAGGTACAAACCTCCAGTTATAAGATAGATAAATAAGTACTAGGAATGTAATGTATACCATAGCTAACACTGCTATATAGGAAATTTGTTTAGAGGAAATCCTATTAGTTTTTACCATAGGGAGAAAATCTTTTTTCTTTGTTTCTCTTTTCTTTTTATTGTATCTATATGAGAAGATGGATGCTAGCTTAACCTATTATAATCATTTCACAATTATGTAAATCAAACCATCATGCTGTGCACCTTAAACTTACACATTGACATATATCAGTTATTTCTCAATAAAACCGGAAAAAAGTACAATCATTGAAATAAACTCACTGAATGGGCACAAGGGCAGAATGATTAGGACAAAGGAAAGAATCAGTAAACTTGAAGACAGAACAGAAAATAACCCAGTCTGAATGACACAGAGAAATATATCAGTTTACAACTACCAAATAATAACACAATTATGCATCTGGTTATAATTTATTTGTTTAGATTATATGGAATTTTACTCTAAATTATTTATTTCCTTTTTCAACCTTTATAAGCTTTTCTTAGTAAAATAATATTATAATAATGAAAGCAAGAACATGGTCCATAATAATCTAAATGATCCCTATTAACATAAAAAAGTAAAAAAATAACCTACCATTTTTATTGAACATACATATAAATATAAGAACACAGAAGCTTCTTTAGTCAAGATACAGTGATCACCTATTGAATGCAAATACTTAAACATCATTTTCATGGTATTGACCTGAAGATACTCACTTACCTGCGAACTAAATCCGGTTTTAGAAAAGTTGCTTGTTGTTCAACTCTAACTGGTTGGGATACGGGCTGTAAATAGTACAGAAATAAAACTTTTTATGGTAACAGTAAACTTCAAGCTGATGATGCAGTCTGCTATTATTTTAGAAAACGATTGTTAATATTTCATATTTTGGTTACTTCACAAACCAAGTAGGGCATCTGCACTGTATGAATCCTATAGTGTCTATATCAATCCTATTATTGATGCTACTACCAAAGATAAAATTTAACAGTATTAATATTTATGGAGATTTTTCATTAAAAAGACAGTATTGTTTTGTTTTATATAATTTTGCTTGTGCTATTTTTCAACAGAAAATACTGACATTCAGTTTCTAGTCCTGATTGAAAAACTACTACTAAAAGGAAGAGTTGAAGCCATTCAACAAACAGGTAAGTCAATGTCTCAAGCTTTAATGTACTGGGTGGTCTTGCTCTTTCTTTTTCTCTTTTAAACTACTGCCAATTATACCTTTGAGGTGTTAGTATACAGCAGCTGCAACACTGGCTTCAAAGAGAAAAGTTTAAGCCCTCTAAGAAGAAAAATTCCAACTGTGTTGGAAATCAGTTGTAAACATTCATCTAATCTATACTATGCACTGCCTTCCACTGGTGACAGCAGAATGATCTTAAAGTGTAAATCTGTCAAAATCCATCATTTCCCTAACCAGTCTAAACTCTTTATGATGGCTCCTCATCTATATGGCTAAGTTCCTTTGAATGGCAAATAAAGTCCTCAATGAAGTGGTCCCTGCCTCATTCTCTAGCCTCTTCTCTGCTTGAAGCCACATTGAACTGGAACTCCTCTGAATGAGTTGGGCTCTTCCAAATACTGTGACTCTATGTTTCTTCATCTCCATGGACTATTTGAACTACTCCTCAGTCTGGTTCATTTAGCAAATATTTGGATGGAATTCCTATATACAAGAAGCCTCTATTACAGTGGGTTCCAGACAGACCAGCTAAATCACCTTGAGGATGCTTAAAAATATATATACCAAGCTCATATCTTGATTTCTAAACTAACAGGGATAAATGGAGAAATGACTGATTCCAGCACTGGGGCAAGGAAAGTACAAAATGAGCCTGGATCACCCTGTTACGTCAAAAAGTGTTGAACTGCTCAAAGAATGATGAGAACATAACAAAAGCAAACAGGAGCGAGCTTGAAGGAGCTCCCACTGCACAAATACGGGAAAATTTGGGCATGAAAATAAATAATAATAGTAACAGAATATAACCTATTCAACAAAATAAGAATCTATGAGCTCATACTGATATAAACAAACAAATAAATAAAGGAGAGGTTTTACAGTGAAAAGCCAACTAATACATATACGAAATGATGAAGTTAGAAAATCATCAATGGATGATAAAACTAGTGAGTCAAATTTGGATGAGGACAGGATATTTACAGTTTTAAAATATCTCTCCACAGATTACTTATTAATTACAAAAGCAAAAACTGGTCACTTCATAGTGGAAGCACTTGGCAGACCCCACCTTAAACAAGTAATCAAATTTAACCTCAGCAGTATTGGGAAAAACAGACACCACATGCCTCGTAATATGATACACTGAACAAAAAACACAACATCATTTACATGACATTCCTGACAAAAATGCATGATCTAACTTTGAACAAGAGGAAACTTCAAACAAACCCAAAATGAAGGATATTCTATAAAATAAACAACCTTTATTCTTCAAAAATATCAACGTTATGAAAGAAAGAAGCCCTGAGGAACAGTTCCAGGTTAAAGGAGACAAAAGAGATAACACACCTAAAGGCAATGCATGATCTTCAATTAGATCCTGGATCGAGGGGGACAATTGCCATAAAGCACATTATTTGGACAACTGGTAAAACGTTACCATGGATAATAGATTAACTAATAGTATTATACTCATGTTAAGCTCCCTGTATTTAGTTATTGTACTGTGGTTAAGAACATGTCCTTGTCTTATACTAAAATATTTGAGGGTAAAAGGGCATCACATCTGTAACTAGTTCTCCAATGCTTCAGAGGAAAAATCATATGTGTATCAATGGATAGATAGATGGATGGATCGACAGACTGACCAACCAACAGATCAGTAAACTATAATCCAGTAATACCTTTATCATGCCCCCCTTTATCATATATGTTTAATATCTGACTCCAAGAAATCTGTCTGATTCATCTTTGTACTCAGTGCTTCTAAGGCTTCCAATAAACGTTTCAAGGTAAAAAGAAATAAAAAAGAAAACATAAGACATAAGAAAGGCTGTGCCATATATGTCCATGATCCAATATTACCAATCCTGGACATCAGTCATAAGGGAATAATACAAAGAATGAAAAAAGTACATAATATAAAGTTTGTTTCATTGTAAGTGTTCAATAAATGGTAGTTATCTCTTATCAATAAATGGTAGTGCTTTTACTGTGGTATTATAAATAATAAAAACTGACAGCAAAGTAGTTGTCCAGGATAGGGGGAGTTAGGTAAACATGAATACTTGTGCTATTGTGTGGCCACTGAAAATTGGAATTGTGAGGGCCAAGTAAAGGCAGAGATTACTTACTAAGTAATGAACCTGTTAAGTAAGTAATAATGAATAAAAAAAAAACTACACTTTATAATTTAAAACTTTAAAAGGATAACAAATACTAAGTGTATATATATAGGAAAATAGCTATTTTCATAAACCACTGGTGGAACTATAAACTGGTTAGACCTTTCTGAAAGGTAATTTGACAATATATATTAAGTCTTTAAAACCCTGACAATTCAATTTCTAGAATCCCAAGGAAATAATTAAAGTGTATACAAAGATTTAGCTTCAAGAATGTTCCTCACAACATGGAATATAGGTGCAAATAACAGAAATATTAGATACTTGTTTCCTTTATTTGCTCCATTAAATAAATAGATACATCCATACTCCATAAAGGATATTATATAGCCCTTGAAAAATGTGCCAAGACATATAAGATAACATTATAAGTGAAAAAAGATTATAAAAGAGCATGTAGAGTATGGTTACATTAAAATTACATATATATATGTATGTATATATATATATATATATATATATACATACACACACATACATATAAAATGGTCTAGAAGAATATATACCAAGGCATTAAACCAGCTATCTATATTCATCTTGCTTAGGTAATAAGAAAAAAACAAATTTGTGTACAGATTGATCAACCCTCAAGTGTGGTAATCTCAGGACAGGTCCCCATTATTTCAATGCACAACATTATACTAATTTTAGACAAAAGAAAAATGAAACATTTCATTAAATTAAAAAAAGTCTTCTATAAAAATGGCCCAGAATCTATTTGTAAGTATCAGTTTTGAAACACCTAGAAATATTATGACAGAACTTGATTTGAAGCTCTTAAATAAAAAGGCAGATGAACCAACTATTTCCAAAATTCTGAGGACCAACACAAAGCAGCATTAATAATCCTGTTTATAATTACAAGCACTTATAAAATATAATTCCAGATTGGTGTCACAGTAACTATGTTTTTTTCCTCTTTACTTAATACCTAGGCTTTGCCAGATTTATGCATCAGGATACCATGTCACTGTTCCATCTTCCTGGACTCTACGTAATTCTTTTAAAGTTTCTTTAATATAAACAAGTATTAAGTTAGATACTAGTTAAATTTGTTTTTTGTTCAATATTGTGTACACAAAAAAAAGAACTCTTCACCTACATATTTGCTCTCAATGCTTAAAAAGTGATTATACTAAAGAGTTAATTATCTAATCTATCATTTGAAATTAATCTAATTTATCAGGAAAAAACCTCAATATGGGTTGACTAGGTTGGAGGGGGAAGAAGAAGGCAGGAAATGGTATACTGTCCTCATATCTCTCCCCCTCCCCCACTTTAAAATCCAGAAGAAGACAGGCCCCAATCTGTTTTCTTAATGAGAGACCTTGATACCTTGCGAACAAAATTCAGTAAAACTGAAGTACCTCTGGACACTTGCAGAATGAAGGCAAAGCTAAAATAAGAAGGAAATCTAGGCTCGGGTTCCATGGGCTACACCATTCTCTCCTCTCTGTCTTGGCATTTAAAAATGCTCTCTTGAACTCGTTTCTAGGCTGAGATTCCATGGGTCACACATATACTCTCATCTCTATCTTGGCATTTAAAAATGCTCCCCTGAAACTTGTTCTAGAAACCAGTTTCTCACCCATGATACTGTAAGCTCTTTGATGGAAGAAACCACATCTGTAAGATTTATTACAATATTACAAGTGCCTAACCAATACCTGACACAGGAATAGCTGCTCAATAATGTGTGCTCACTATTATAATATTCTCAGTTGTATTATTTTTATTATTAAAACAGAACAAGCAGTATTTATTGAGCATTAAGTGCTAAGTACTTTAATTAGTTAAATAAATTCAACCCTTATGACAACTCTAACACTAGGTATTGTTATCTTCATTTTACCAATGAGAAAGCTATATGAGGTTATAAATGATGGACGTAAAAACTGAGTGAGTAAAAGAAAATGAATGAATAGACAAATAACTCCAAAAAGTACTGATGAGCTTGAGACCTCTTACACACACCACAAAGGCTATTTTGTTAGTTCCTAACCCTTCTATCTCCTTTACTTCATTACTTGCCCTCCTCCCATCAGTGTGGTTCTTAGCCCTGGAGATACTTTATAAAACTGAGTAAAGAAGAGGAAGAGGGTAGAAAGGGAGGAGGGAAGGAAGAAAAAGAAAAAAGAAAAAAGAAGAAAAGAAAATCCAAGCTCATCTACAACATTTTAGGGATTTTTATTCAGTTTTTCTTGACTGAAGATCAGTAAAACTGGAATGAAGTATTTTTAAACATTTTGTAACTGCTTTATTATTTTATCAAAACTATAACATGTCTCTCCCATGAAGTGCTTTTTACCAACCACTATTTATTGAGCACTTACGACATGCCAGGCACCTCTAACATGTATCTCATCTAATTCTAGTTAACCTGCAAGATTTTTTCTAACATGGTGAA